GCTGAAGGCCACCCTTCGGTTGTCGCATTGCCAAAGTAACACAAATTTGAGTTCTGAACATTTTTTTTTTTTTTTTTTTTACCCCCTTTGAAAAGGGCAACGGTCTTGTGATATTGTCATCATTGCGCTGACCGGCCCTAGGCAACTATCGAATCTGACTGCATCTGGGTTCAAACTTGGATCTGTATATCAACAGTTCATGGGTGTACCAACTGAGCTAGGCCCGTTCGTTAGTCACATTCAAGCTGGCTGCACATACTCGCAAATGTTCAGTACGTTTGCCAGGACCCCAATCTGTGGTCACACGGACTCGAACCCGTGACCTCAGCCATAACAGCCGGATGTCTTAACCGTTGCAACTGTGACACGGCGTTCAAAACTGAAGCCATACCAGTCGTCGCATTCATCCCACCCCAGCACAGTTGCAGTGGAAGATACTCAACTCGACACCCGACACCCGTCTCCACACGACACACATGGATGTTCTTTGTTTTTTCCAGAGCTGAGATATTCAGGGCAGCGGCCTGGGATTGGCCATTTTCTGCACCTAGATTTTCTTCTCAGGCTCTCTGCAAGGAAGCTGGGTAATGATGCCAGTACTGTCTGGGGTGGCTTGTAGAGGACATCTCGGCCTCCTTCGTTTCTGAGTAATCAAATGGATTATTTTTCTCCTTGGAAAACAAGAAAAAAAAAGACACACGATTCGGCGAGGAAAAAGAACAGAAGGGGCAAGTACGTTGACGTCACTTTTGAGTATCCAATGAGCCAAAAAAAAACACGCGCCGGCAAAGAAAGCAGGCACCGAGTTGGAAAAAGCAATGAAAGTATGAATGGCCGTGGTGTCAGGCCAGGTGTCTTAACTACAGGGGTCGGCCGTGGTGTCGGATGGGGCAAAAAAAAAAAAGAAGAAAAAAAAAACAAAGCCCAATGGAATGGATTCTTTTCTACCCAAATTGCCGTTTCAAACTCACGCCCTGATTTCTTTGCGGCTGCATGTTCTGTTTTGCCTTTGCAAACTCAAAACCTGCCACGCCCGCCGTTGTTTCGAAAGAAAAAGAAAAAGGAAAAAACGGCCCACAAGTTGATATGCATTTCAAAAGTCTGCGAAATCCAAAAACAAAAAAAAAAGTCCGCGAAATCTACAAACCTTCAACTCTTCTTGCAATCCAGTCTTCTACCCACATCCCAGCCGCCAGGCCAGCAACAGTGACCAGAGAAAACATGCCTATGTTGAACCGCAAAGAGTGACGCTTCAGGAAGTAAACATCTGGAGCCTCTCGAAGTTTCCTAAGGTGCCCCGCCTGCAGACGCCCTTTGCCAGGGGCTTTGTTCACATCCGCCGCGCCTGTTTCGCGTCCGTTTTCGGTCCCAGTCACTGACCATTCCTGCTCTCTTCCAGCCTCCATGTTAGCGGATGGACGCAATCAGGAACGTTTCCGGTTCTGGGGACACGCACACAGAAACGACACGACACGACAAAAATATATCTTCTAAGTTCTAAGTTCTATCTCACCATTGAGCTCCCTGAGTTGAATTCTTTTTTTGGCCAAACCATGCAGAAGAAGTCTTTGAAGTAAAATTTGAGAAACGGACGGACTTGGCGATGGTAGAGGCACTGGAGTATTGGTCCCGACTCCCAAGGATAGAATGGAGCTAATAAAAGCTGTATTTGGGGGCAATTTTCAGTCTAGAAACAGCAATCATGTCCCCAGCATCCCTGAATCGAGCATTAAATGACACTGTTGACTTACATTCACCGGGCGCGGTGGCATTGTTTACTTCCTGTATGATGGATGGGAAGGATTAACCTCTCCACCCCTTGTGTACAATCTTGCGCACATAGAACACCTAGTTATTATCACTGTATCTAAAACTGACAGTTGGCCCAAGAACAGCTATACATGACCAGGCGTTCTATTCGGGCGAAGAAGGCAGTAATACCAGTATCACTTGATGGAATTCTCTTGTCACATAAAAAATGGAGTGTTTGGCCCATCGGAGGTCACTCCTGCCAAAGCCAACTCTTCTTCTTAGTTCCAGTGGGCCCAGTTTATTGTAGCTTGACGAATGGAAAAGGGAGCGTCTTGCTCGGGCGGCAAGACTGATAATATGTGGGCCTGGTTTCCAGCAGGTGCAGCTCCCCATCGATGGAAAGGAGCATTTTCTTCAGTTCTTTTTAAAACCCCAAAAAAAAACTGAGGAACCATCAGAGTAAAGCTTCTTTGTTTTTGTTCCTTTTCGGGAAAAAGTGAGTCTTACAGTTGAGGCCGGGAACAGACTACCGTCTTCGCCTGAATAGAACGCCCGGTCATTATAGCTGTATTTGGCACAACCTTCAGCCCAGATATGGCGATAATTACCGGGTGTTCTATTCGGGTGAACACGGTAGTATTTGGATATGCGGTTGAGAAGGAATAAGGGGGAGGAAAACAGGAAAAAAAAAAGGCGAAGGGTAAGGTAAGGACTACACATGACAGTGGGCTTTATGAGCTTTGGTTGGAGGGACTGATGTGGATGGAGATCATTACCTAATTGAACCCCTCCTCTTTCTTCTACCAATGCCCCTCTCGTGTCTTCTGGCAGAGGTGTGAGGAAGCACTTCAACACTATGCTATGTAGAATGGTGTTATTAAACCACCAGTACCTCGCTCAGCTATCGATTCCGAGCCCGGCGGCCGACCCTGGAGCTACCGGGAGAGAGAGGAAGGCAGAGAGAGAGAGAGAGAGAGAGAGAGAGAGCTGTCTCTTATACACATCTAGATGTGTATAAGAGACAGGTATCGCACAAGGACCACCACTGGAAACCAAGCTCACTGCATGGTTCAA